GACTGGTACCTGTTCATATACGTTCTTGGCAGATGATCCAGAAGTGGTTTGCCATTGCCTTCTTCTGTGTGTGAATGGAGTAATTGTTGGGATGCCACGGAGAAACCGGGGAAGCCCCCGGAGGAAAACTCCGTGTTGCCTAGACCACGGCCTTGCCCAACACAAGTTATAAATTTGAGCACCACCGGGAATCGAACCCGAGACCCCAGGATTACAAGGCCAGCGTTCTAACCGCTAGACCACCGTAGCTCTCATGCTCTACTACAGAGGTTTAACTTCAGTGATCATATTTTCTAAAAAAAAAAATTTCGCGTTTGTAGTTTAAAAGCACACGAATTATTTCCAAAAACGTAAAGCCTTATATATAAGACGTTTCCCGTTGAATGAGTATTATGAAAAGCGCGCATATGGGATGTCATTTTGTTAATGGTATCAGTTGTTTCATATTTGCATTACTTCTTCTGATTATAAAAAGTAAGTCTGTTCGAAACTTCACACGAAATAATAATCCTAAATTAGTGTCAGTATCGTGTTCGTTCTTAATTGTAATTCTCGACATAACACTGGTATTCATCCTTTGAAGCCGAAATTCGTCTAAATAATTTAATACTGAAAATGTTGGTTACTACAGGGAAGAAAGCGATAATTTCTCCATTAGAGCCATCAGTTTTAAATTCTGTTCAAGGACGTAATTACTGGGTTTTTTTTCCTAATAATTATACGAAAGCTATAGATACAAAAATTTGTCATTTTTAAAGCTCGTGGTACATGTAGTTACTACTGTGCTTTCGAGAGTTAAATAAGTCAAATTAGAAATTAAATTCGTGAAAGAATTAAAGCAGAAAATATTCACCAAATTACTTGTCTTTATTAATTTCCCCTCTGCTGTCAATAAAAGATAAATACAAATAAATGACATTACAAATCTTCCCCTTTATGTATTTGATTTTAATACTTATATCTCGGGAGAAAATCATTATTAAACGATGCCTGTCCTGCCATCTGTCTGCATCTTGTGTCCCTTATATTTACAACGCGTTCAATCCCTAGACAGCAGACAGGCGTATTGCGTACAACCCAAAAAATGCATTTCCCCATTCTTGTCCTATGCATTTTAAACCATCTCGTCGTTTACATACTGGGTTTTTGATTTTCGTGCTTTAAATACGTACATAATCTTTAGCATACAATAGAATGTTCATCTCATATCATCGCTGTGTACGATTTACTCAGAAACAAGTAAGCAAGATTGATGGGACATTAGAAGGACTTTTCAATGTGGCCATTGTTGTGTTGACACTGAAATGTAACTGCTTTAGAGTTGTACACATAATAATCTGTTAAACTTCTTCGTGAATCTCTCTTAATCGTGTAACAATGGAGTTTGATAAGTTGTGAAGAGAATTTGCATGAAGTGAGCTATAGTTAACCCGTCCAAAGGGTTTGAATCTCAGCTCGGTGAACGCGAATCCTGGGTGAGTGAATTTCTTGTAGATTTTCTCAGTCTGTCTAAAATTACCACCATCGACTTAATTCTTTCCATCTCGAATTTATCATTCATAATCATCCTAATGTTGACTGTACAATAACAGCAGCTGCGTGGTCTAGGCAACACGGAGTTTTCCTCCGGGGCCTTCCCCGGTTTCTCCGTGGCATCCCAACAATTACTCCATTCACACACAGAAGAAGGCAATGGCAAACCACTTCTGGATCATCTGCCAAGAACGTATATGAACAGGTCCCAGTCCGAGAAAAGGATGGAAGGCTCCTGTTCATATGGACCTGTCGTCAGGCAGAACACTAAATAATAATAAGATGAGGTGGTCTAGCGGTTAGAACGCTGGCCTTGTAATCCTGGGGTCTCGGGTTCGATTCTCGGCGGTGCCCGAATTTATAACTTGTGGTGGGCAAGGCCGTGGTCTAGGCAGCCCGGAGTTTTCCTCCGTGGCATCCCAACACTTACTCCATTCACACACAGAAGAAGGGAATGGCAAATCACTTCTGGATCATCTGCCAAGAACGTATATGAACAGGTCCCAGTCCGAGAAAAGGATGGAAGGATCCTGTTCATATGGACCTGTCGTCACACAGAACACTAAATAAATAATAAGATGTTGTAGAACATTTGCGTTGGCCTTAAAGCTAGATTTTCATCAACTTTTAAGATTAGGCCTTATATCCTGTTCAATTCAGAATAAATTCTGAAATTATTAAATCTTTTTAGACATTTGACAGGACTCCTTTTGTACGAGTGATCAACCCGTCACAAGGCCTTTACCTACACACAGGACAGTGCAATACAGAAGGACGATAATAAACAACCATGCTTTCACCGGGATTCAAACCCGTGATCCCAGTATGCAGTGGGCCCAAGACCCACGCCCTCTCTGAAGCTATATGTAAATGAAAAAATAAACAGTCAGTAAGATTTAAGTTTGAATAAGGAAGGTAAGTCCGCGAAAGATTATAGACAGGGCATGAGGGAGATAAGAAATGCATACCAAATTTTTGGTTAGAAACCTAAAGGACAGAGAACACTTACGAGACTCGCGCATAGATGAGATGATAATATTAGAATTTATTTTAAGAAATATAATTTGTTGGTGTGGACTGAAACAAATTTTCTCAAGATAGAACCACATCTAAGAAAACTTTCCCTGGAAAATTACATTGGAATCCGTCAAATAGTTCGTAAAGTGAAACAGACGGACGGACTCTCATTTCTTGTGACTGCTGTTTCGTCTCAGCACACAGGCAGGTGAGAACAGCTGGTATCAGTGTGGGATTACCCCAGCCTACGATATGCACTCCACTTTCTGACCAATCAGATTGAGCGAAGGGTTTTGTGTGGGATGTGATGAGTTCGGACTTACACGAGGTCTGACAGTTAAATAACCGGACTGATTATGTTAAAAATACAATAATACAGATAGACGATACCGTTTACCGACGTTTCGGAGGTTCTCATTCGCCTTAAAATGGAACCTACATACAAGGCTCATCACTCAGAAACATACTCCACATTAGCA